ACAAGGTCTCTATCTGGCCTGGAGCTCACCAATCAGGCTAGACTAGGCAGATGCAATACCACTGAGCCACACCCCAGCCCCTCACTGGGGGATTCTAGGCAGATGCAATACCACTAAGCCATACCCCAGCCCCTCACTGGGGGATTCTAGGCAGGTGCTCTACCACTGAGCCACACCCCAGGCCCTCACTGGGGGATTCTAGGCAGGTGCTCTACCACTGAGCCACACCGCCAGCCCCGGGCCATTTTATTCCCACTAGAAGCACATGAGAATTGTGGTTTCTCTGCATTCTTGCCAGGACTTGATATTATCAGTATTATTGCCTTAGTCGTTTTTTTGTTTTTGTTTTTGAGACAGGGGTTTCTCTGTGTATCCCTGACTGTCCTGGAATTTGCTCTGTAGACCAGGCTGGCCTTGAACTCACTCACAGAGATCCACCTACCTCTGCATTCCAAATGCTGGGATTAAAGATGTGCACCACCACCACCACCACCACCACCAGGCAGTTTTAGTCATTCTAATAGAGGCTTAGTGTTACTTTATGGTGACTTTAATTGGCATCTCCCTAGTGGCCAATCATATTGCTCCGCCTCCCCGTAGGGTCTCTTTCGCCCCTCCCCCTCTCCCCTCACCACTCTCCGACCCATTTGTTTTTCCTCTCCTTGGGACTGGGCCCAGGGCCTTTGCACATGCTGAGTGTGGTGCCAATCACCTGTGGCATCGTTTCTGTCACTGTGATAAAACACCTGACAAGCCTGTCGTGGTGGTGCACGCTTTTAATGCCAGCACCATGCGGGCAGAGGCAGGGGATCTCTGTGAGTCTGAGGCCAGCCTGTCTACAGAGGGAGTTCCAGGACAGCCAGGGATGCATAGTGAGAGCCTGTCTAACAAGAAACAAGACAAAAAGCAAAACCCTCTTTTTATTTATTTATTTATTTCCTGGCCTTGAACTCTCCTGCCTTTAGAGACCTGGAATCATGGCTTTGCACGACTGTGTTTGGATAATATTTCTTCAGATATGAGTAGATTCCTCAGTGCAAGTCTCTGGCCTGGAGATGTCTTTTGTATGAGTGTGGGGACAGAGTTAACACAGCAGGTCTCCTTTTTCTGCAGCTTCACATTATCTCTGTAGCCATGGCGATGACCCTTGGTCACATTCTGAAAGCCGAACGAGAATCATCACAGAGCTATCGGGAAGCAGTTATTCTCTGTGCCCAAAATAGAATCAAGACGAAGCCGGCTATAAACCAGAGCACACCCTCGATCTTAGCCCTTGGGAGGAGGAGTTCATTTGGGCTATATAGTAAGAGGCCAGCCTGGACTACATGCAACCCTATGTCAGAAAAAGATGAACTAAGGTCCCAAGAACTGAGGGTTCAGGGAGCAAGAGTGCTTGCCATTCAAGCATGGGGACCTGAGTCTGAACCCCCAGCACCCTATAAAAAACTTGAGTGTGACACTGTGCATGCCTATAGCCCCAGGGCAGTGGGGGGCGGAGACAGGGGATTCACCGGCTTGTTGGTCAAAAGTCTAGCTCCAAATGTAGTATGAGAGACCCTGTGCCAAGGCAATATGGGGGATGTCTAATGTCCTTCTCATGGGCACACACATTAGCACAGGCAACAAACACATCTATGGAAAATTTAACACCACCATGAACTTGGCTGTCCTGGTAGCTCTGGAGTGGGTCCTCAAAGGTTCAGGTGTTGAAGACATGGTGCTGCCCGGCAGCAAATTTAGTTTTTAAAGATTGCGATTAGCCGGGCGTTGGTGGCACACGCCTTTAATCCCAGCACTCCGGAGGCAGGGACAGGCGGAACTCTTGTGAGTTCGAGGCCAGCCTGGTCTACAGAGTGAGTTCCAGGACAGCCTCCAAAACAATACAGAGAAACCCTGTCTCGAAAAACCAAAAAAAAAAAAAACCGATTGTGATTAATTATTTGTGTGTGTGTGTGTGTGTGTGACTGTGTGTGTGCATGTGTGATTGTGTGTGTGACTGTGTGTGTGTGATTATGTGGCTGACTGTATGACTGTGTGAAGAGGTCAGAGGACAACTTTCGGGAGTCAGTTCTCTCCTTCCATCCTGTGGTCCCAGGGATCAAACTCAGGCCACTAGGCTTGGTGACAGATGCCTCTACTTACTGAGGTTTCTCACTAGCCCTCTGTGTGTGTGTGTGTGTGTGTGTGTGTGTGTGTGTGTGTGTGTATCTACGTTTGCAAAGGCAGTGGATCCTGCTCTATTGCTGGGATTAAAGGCGTGGACCACCACCACCCGGCTGGCCTTGACTGTTTGATGTGGGGCCTGGGGATTTGAACTCAGGTCCTCCTGCTTGTGCAGCAAGCACTCTGACCCTCTGAACGACTTCTCCAGCCTGACAGCCTGCTTAAAGAAGGCGTGCGGATTCAGAATAACTCACCTGGTGCTTTGTATGGGACCGTGGGGGTCACATAGCAGGCACGTGACCAACTGGTGTGGAGGATTTTGACTCTAGGACTCATATGAGATTTCTAGGGCAAGGGCACCCCAAACTCAGCCCCTGCAGTTCGCCTCTGAAACAAGACAGTGCGTGCCTGACCCTGCCACCCTCCAGCTATTTATATCTCTTCCCTGCTGCGCCTGCATTGAATGTATCTGCTGAAATAAATCTTAACTGTGAAAATGCTTTCATGTGCGCTGTGTGGGGCCAGCTGAAGCAGAACGAAGGTAGGGAGGATGATGGGGGAGGGGAGGGGAAAGGAGCAAAGGCACACACAGACATTCATGTGTGTTCACACATGCACACAAAGATAAACACACAGATACACACAGAGACAGACACAGATACTCAAACAGATAGACACACACACACGCACACACACACGCACGCACACACATGCACACACGCACACACACGCACGCGCGCACACGCACGCGCGCACACACACGCACGCGCGCACACACACGCGCGCACACGCGCACACACACACGCACACACACAATTGCTTGATGCACTCAAAACTATTGTCCTGGGGGCGGGAGAGACGGCTCAGCCAATGAGAACACTTGTTGCTCTTGCAGAGGACCAAGGCTCAGTTCCCAGCACCTGCATGGGTGACTGACAGCCACCATAACTGCAGCTGGAGGGGATCCCATGGCCTCTTCTGGCCTCCCAAAGGCACCAGGCATGCATGCAGTGCTCATACATACATGCAGGCAAAACACTCATGCATGCAAAATAAAAGTAATCTCTCTCAAAAACAAATAAAACAAAAGCAAAAAACCCCACCACACCTGTTACCCCTGTGGAGACTAGGGTACTCCTCAAAGGCTACAGACCCATGGAATGTCTCTGAAGGCTCCTCTGGCTCCAGGGAACCTTGTCAGATGGCAGACAAAGGGCCATTTTTTTTTGTTTGTTTGTTTTTCAAGACAGGGTTTCTCTGTATTGTCTTGGAAGCTGTCTTGGAACTCGCTTTGTAGTCCAGGCTGGTCTCGAACTCACAGAGATCCGCCTGCCTCTGCCTCCCGAGTGCTGGGATTAAAGGCGTGCGCCACCAACGCCCGGTTTAAAGGCCCATTTTTGTATTCTATGAGACATTAGAGATCAGCAGCTGATTCATAGTTTGCTCACAGCTCTGCTGAGCCCTGAAAAGGGAGAAACAGCAGCTGATGCTCTGCTTGGCTTCTGTCACAGGGCTATTTCTAGAAGGAATAGAATGACAGGACAGTCGGGGCATTTTGGCACGATGTACCAAGGTCCTGAGACAGAGCCGTGTCACATGACCTAATGTCGCTACTGTATGATGGACCAAAACCAAAATCTCGTTTGAAACTAGGTTTCTCACCAAGAGTCATTTTTGACAATGTGCTTTTAAAAAATGGTTTCAGGAATACAGTGTGGGGAAAGGAGTCACTGCCTAAAACAAGAGGCTGTCGACCTGTCCTCTGCACTGGGGCCTAGTGCAGTTCTGGACATGGTGAAACGTTTTTTTCCAATTATAGTATGTTTCATCTGTTTTCATTTTATGTATCTTGTTCCTATGGACAACGGGCCGAAGATAACAGCTGGCTAAGAATTTCTGTCACCCTCAGAGTGACTCTCATCAGTTCCAACTCAGCTACCTGTTTTTCATTGTGTGAATTCTGAAACAGTAAAAGGAGGACCAATTGTATCAGATATCAAAGCAAATTATACAGTGGGATAATTAGGTACTGGAGAAGGTTCAAGCAAACTCAAGGTTAATAGCCAACTTGAACAGGAATTTAACAATAAAGGCAGAATTTCAAAATAGTTGGGAAGAGAGGTAATCATTAGACATTGTTGAAACAACTGGATAATCATGGGAGAGTAGGGAAGCATTGGCACTTATTCTACTTGGATCCAAGCCAGGGCTTTATATATACTAGGCATGTACTCTACCATTGAGCAATGCTCCTAGCCACACCCCAGCCCCCTCACTGGGGATTCTAGGCAGGGGCTCTACCACTGAGCCACACCCCAGCCCCTCACTGGGGGATTCTAGGCAGGGGCTCTACCACTGAGCCACACCCCAGCCCCTCACTGGGGGATTCTAGGCAGGTGCTCTACCACTGAGCCACACCCCAGCCCCTCACTGGGGGATTCTAGGCAGGGGCTCTACCACTGAGCCACACCCCAGTCCCCACACTGTGGGATTTCAGGCAAGCTCTTTAATAAAGTTAAAATTTTTAAGTTAAAGCACGGGGGGGCATGTGAACAATCACAGGGAAGGCTAGGCATGGACACACACCTGCTGTCTCAGCATGAAGGAGGCTGATGCAGGAGGATCGGGATCCAGGGTAGCCATGATGCTCAGCAGCGTGCTTGTACAAGCACAAGGACCAGGGTTTGATCCTTAGAGCCCTCATAAAAGCCTGGGCAAGCCAGGCATGCTGGCGTGCACTTGTAAACTTGTAAGTCCTATGGAGGCAGGCAGATCCCCAGGCCTGCATTGGCCATCCAGCCTGGCTACTTGGCGAGTTCTAGACTGGAGAGAAACCATGACTCGGGAAACAATGCGAATGGTGTTGGAGGAACAGCACCCAAGGCTGTGACCTATGACCTAGACACACATGCACACAATGCTTTCCACATAAGGCCAAATAATTTTTTAGAAATATGTGTGGGCCGAGTCTCATGTCCGGATCAAGTTTACTCAGAATTACAGTGCTGGTGCTGGCGGGAACAGTGGGGACTGTTGTGAACACAAAGCCGTTTTCCTGGCAACTCTCATCCTTCTGAACATCGTCACAACATCCACCTTGGAGAGGATCCTGGGGACGTGGGAGGCATTGGCCACATCCCCACACACCCTGGCCACTTTCCACGTAACTTCTAGAAACCCACAACAGAAACTGCCTATGGGCTTTCAAGATCAGGAAACTCATTCAACGTCAGAGAATTCACACTGGAGAAAAGCCCTGGGCTCGTGAAGGTATGTCTTCAGTCCGTCCCCTTCACCAATGCCTTAGAACTAATTAGACAGCTGGGATTTTGTAGCAGACAGGGCCCCTGGGGAGATAATGGGTGGTGAAGAAGCTTCGGTCAGAACCCTAACCCACAGGCTGTCCCTGCTGAGTCACCGACACACTTAGGAGAAGTGTGGAGAGTGTGCTCAGTGTGGCTGTTTGCTGCAGAGGAAGCTGCAAGAGAAACTGGCCCAAGGCTCCTCATCTGAGAAAGGGCACCCTTAAAGGTTGTGATGTTGAGCCCATTACACCCCCCACCCCCCGCTGCCCGGGGTAAAGCCCTCACGGGGGAGGATGGGGGAAAGCCACTGTTTCCCTTTACTGGGCTCAAGAGAACACCAAGCTATGATCCCCACACAGAGGCCTTCTGGGGGTAGAGGTGGGCGTGGGAGGAGACTTTGGGTTAAAAGTGTCAGCAATAGCGTGGCAAGCCAGAGGAAGGATGTGAGCCCAAGACCAGCCTGGGCTACGGAGATTCAGGCAACTAGGTAACTCAGTAAGACCTTGTCTCAAAACCAAAAGTCAAGAGAGGGCTGGGTGCGTGGCTTAGCAGTAGAGCTCTTGCCTAGAATCCCCCAGTGAGGGGCTGGGGTGTGGCTCAGTGGTAGAGCCCCTGCCTAGAATCCCCCAGTGAGGGGCTGGGGATGTGGCTTGCTGAGAGAGCACTTTCCAGAATGTCTGAGGTTCATTTAATCTCCAGTACCATTATACAAAAAAGTATAGGGGAGGAGAGAGAGGCCTTAATTGTGTCACAAGGTACACATTTAAACGTTTGCTTTTTGGTTTTTTGCCTCTTCTGTCTCCCAGGAGTGTGGCCCCTGCCCCTCTGGTGACTCATCTTCCTTCTCCCTTTTACAAGCTGGGATTCACTTTGCTGGCTTTAGTCTATTCCCGCTGAGCAAATGAAATCTACAATGGACGAGTGTGAGCTACTGGCCTTGGCCTTTGGGGCCCGGCTCCATGTACAGCGTGGGGCCCACAAGCCATGTCCTGAAGGCTGGTGTCAGGGTCACAGCTTCTCAGGGACTTAACACCTCCAGGGCCGGCCCTGTGGGTATTCTGAGACCACAGAGGGAGGAGGACTTTTGCTAGAGTCTGCTTGGGGGGGGGGGGGGGGGATGAGTATTTGCCAGTTCCGGTTGAGGCACCAGCAGAAGCCTGGCTTTGTAGAGTTCCAGGAGGAAGGGCCAGGCTTTGAGTTCAGCTTCTCCAGGGATCTTGGACTCCTGCTTCCACCTCCCAAGGGGCAGGCTGCAAGCGTGAGCCACCATGCCTCGCTTACGCGGCACCGGCTGAGCCACACACCCCCGTGCTAGGACAGCCAGAGTTACACAGAGACACCCCCCGAAAAAGAAAGCAAAACAAACATATAGACAGAGAGAGGCAGCCAGGGACCTCAGTGGAGGTACAGCTGCCTGAAAAGAATGGCTGGGAGCCCTGCTGGCAACCTCAGGACGGGAAGTAGGGTGACGGGAAATGCAGCGTTGAGCTTACATTTTTATTTTTTAGAAAGGATTTCAAGTATGTTGCCCAGGCTAGCCTTAAATGCACTTTGTAGTCAAGGATGACTCTTGAGAATGCCTTGCTTCCACGTCCCAAGTGGGGAGCCTCCTGGTGTGCGCTGCCAAGACCAGCAGGACACTCGCACAGCTTTCTAGAAGGCCTTCTTGAGCAGGTTGCTAGAAGCCGCTCCCTGGGGTGCCTGGGGTAGGGTGGCCCCTCACCTTAGGCCTCTGCTTCTGGCTCCTCTCTACACTTGTACCATCTTTTTTCTTTTTTCTTGAATGTGGCCTTGGGACAGTCAAGGGAATGTTCTAGAGACTTAGTACAAATCACATTATAGCAATATTTTTCCAAGCCAGGAGGATGGAGCACTGGAGACAACCGGATCTGTGTGTGGCTCTGCCAGGCACGCCCTTCCCTTTGTGCCTCGGCTCCTGGTGAGCTGTCCGCATGTCCCCGTGCTGGGACTACCAGCCTGTGCCACCGCACCTGGCTTATGGAGTACTACAAATGGAACCCAGGGTCTTGCACATACCAAGCAAGCACCCTGCCAACTGAAATACATCCCCACCCCTTAACACACTTGCTTTAAAGTGTCGGAGGTGACTGTGGCCATGAGAACTCGGGTTTAGAGACATTTGCCACCCTCCTTTTTATACATTACAGAAGGGATTTTTATAACCAGCAAGGAAGGGGACATCTGGCCTTGGCGGGGCCCAGAACTCAGCCACATACTGGGAGGAAGGGATGTGACCTTCCCATGGGGAGGGGGTGCAGGGCGTCTCACTGCACCCCTACACTTCTGGTCTGTGTGAAACCTCCACACGCTGTCTGTCTGCTACCATTTCCTCAACAGGTGCAGCCCTACGTGCCGTGGAAGCCGAGTCAGCAGAGCTCTGAGTTTAAGGGTGGTTCCTGAGCAGCCTCCCCCGCAGCCTGGGTGTGGTGAAGAGACACTCCGGGGCCCACTCTTGCTCAGTCACCAAGTGTCCTTCCCCAAGGTCATTCCTGTGTCCAAGCACAACACCAACTAATAGTAACGTCTCCTTGCCAGAGGGAAGCAACGCGGGCTCCTGTCACCTCATGGGTCTTCAGAGCTAACATGGCCGGGCTGCCTGGTGGGCAGAGTAGGGAGGAAGAGGGAGTGCTAAGAAATCCCCTTCCTCCCTGGGAGACCTTGGAGGGAAAGACAGAAAATCATCTGGAAAGGCGAGCTTCATCTTCAAAGGCCAATGGCCAGAGCCATCTCCCTATGCCGCGGTGTCCATAGGGACACACAGGTACCACGGATCAGACGTGAATCACCTTCAAATGTTAAATCTGTAGGAAAAAATAAGGTATAAATAGATCGTAGAAGAAGAGAGTATTTGTAGACAACAAAGTCTCACAGACATGTGTCAACATGTAGGGTTTGCAGAGTCACTGGAGGGCTTCCGAGAAGAGGCGGGCTTTGGACAGGTTTGAAAGATGGGTTGAGAGCCAGGCGTCTGCCTCTTGTAATTCCAGCATGCAGTGTGCTGAGGCAGGGGAATGGCAAGTCTGAGACCAGCCTGGGTTGTATAGGTGGCCCTGTGCTGTGGTAGCGGATAGAGGAGGGGAAATGAGCCCCATTCCTCCACGGGCTCCGGCTCTGAGCTTCTGCCCTGGCCTTCATGATGGACTGAACCCGTAGGGCTGCCTTTGGTCACGGCATTTACGACAGCCACAGAACACAAACTCAGACAAAGCCTGGCCCTCACTCTGGGCCATGCTCTGCCCAGAGATTTGGATGGGATTCAGCAGCTAACGAACACATTTGCGTGGCAGAGAGAATCTTTGAATGCTATGAATAAGGGGAAATTGTCATCCAATCCATAATTCTCACTGGAGAGACTCCCGATGAATACAGGGCGGGGGGAGCTCCTCAGATGGAGGCCGGCAGCCATAGAGAGGAGAAAATCACAGGGCGCGGGTACAGCGCCCAAATAGGCTCGAACCCACGTCAGAGCTCATCACTGGGAGAGCATCACAAGAGACAGCACACATCCTCCACGTGAGCCCCAAGGGGGCCGCAGCAGCGGAGGCGTCAGATGAGCCATTTGGAGTGAAAGCCTTTGAAAGGAATGAATGGGGGTGGTGATGGTTTGGGGGACCAATCAAGTCTTATTCATCAGCTGAAAATTCCGGCTGGGAAGAGGGTGGGCGCCTTGTCGTCAGTGACGAAGCTCGGGCGCTCCCATCTCACAGGACAAGGATGGAGCCTGGGAGCACTGCAGACCCAAAGTGCTCACACAGGACGAAAACATGACGGAGGAGACAGATTTAGAAGGAGGCCCTGATGGCCCTCCTGCTTTTATCAGCGGCAGATGAGACAGAGCCAGGTGTGGCGGTGGGGGCCAGCCACCCCAGCACTGGGAGACTGAGGCCAAAGTATGCAGAGTTTGAGAGGCTGGTGACGTGACTCAGCGGGTGAAGGCGCTTGCCGTCCAAGCCTGAGTTCAATCCCTGGGTCCTACCAGGAGGAGAGAGAGCTGACTTCAACACAAAGTCTTCTAACCTCCACACCCTCGCCGTGGGATGTGCCCGCCCCCACATAATTAACTGTAATAAAAAATTAGTATATAAATAAATAAATACATAAATTTCAAGAGGGTCTGGGTCAAGTCTGAGCTACACAGAGACTCTGCCTGAGCATTAGGAAGGGATTTGAGTTAGTAGGGGCTTGTCTAGCATGGGACCCACACTCAGCACCACATAAAGCCCAGAAGGATGCAGCTCTGTGTCTCCGCATTTGGGAGGTAGAGGCAGGGAGCCCGGGAACTCAAGGTCATGGGTGAGTGTATACAGAGTGAGGACAGCCTGAGTGCCATGAGACCCAGGCAGGCAGGCAGGCAGGCAGGCAGGCAGGGACGGTGGGAGCCGGAGCAGAAACAGAAACGCTAGGTTTAAAGGAATACTCATGCCTTTGGGACAGAGGTCTCCAGATGACACACAGTCCTGCACAGGCGACCCTTGGGTCCACTAAGGGTCCCCAGCCCTGTACAGAAGAGAAGGATCCAGGCTCTGTGGCTTCTGAAGCTTCCTTCTCCCTCTGGGCTACAAGTTTTCTTCACAGTCCCTCTCTCCTCTTCACTCCTCAGTAAAATCTGGGTCCTTTCTTAGCATGAGGCTCCTAACACCCAGAACTCCAGGCACTCTGCCTGTCTGTGACAGGCAGGAAGGCCTGGCCATCTATGCGTTCCAGAAGCTGCTGTGGCTGGCTCACTCGTGACAAGCACCTTAGGGTGCCTGCCCTGCCTAGCGCTGGTGCTGGGAGGGAGATAAGGAAGAAGGCAGCGTGAGTCGTTAGTGCAGGGTGGTCCTGGCATTCTAGGGGTGCCTGTGTCCAGACGTTGCAGAAAGGGGTTTGGAAGACAGAGCTGCCTGAGGCGGGGAGAAAGACCTGGGACCTGATGGCTGCCACCTGTGTGCCCGCTGTTCTGGTCTCTCACAGCAGCCCTGCAAGCCAGCCAGGGACTATGTGTACCTCACAGACAAAGCTGGGTGTGGTCATGCTCGCCTGTACTCCCGGCACCCGGGGAGGCTGAGGCAGGAGGATCTTGAGTTCCAGGCCAGCCTGAGCTATACAGCCAAGCGTGGTGACTCAAATCTGTAATCCTAGCATTTAGGAGAGTAGTGGAGGTTTCGGGGGTTCGAGGCCAGCATCAGCTATGGCGTGAGTTTGAGGCTAGCATGGGTTATGTGTTTCGAAAACACAACAAAAACAAGACAAAAGCAGAGACACAGAAACCAACCAAAAGAACAAATAATCTGTAGGTAGAGCCCACACTGGGAGTTACTGAAGCTGCACCTGCGTTAGACCAAACCACGTGGCCTCTCATCCCCGAAAGGGACAGGGTGACACCACTACTGGGGGTGTATTTCTAGCAGCTCCGGGGCACTGGGAGGCCGCGTGAATGGGACGGTCTAGGTGAAACGGGCATGCAATCACTTAGCACACCTCTCCTAAGCCTCGTGGGGGAACCGGGAGCCATGGCGCTGGGGAAATGAGCAGACAGACCTGACCCCAAGCTCTCCCGGGCTTCTAGAAGGGAGGCGGGGAGTCCAGTTTGCTAAGTGTTTACCGGGCCCCAGAGCTTCTCAGGGGAGAATGATATCAGAGACTTCTGGGAAGATGATGTCTGGTGCGGCGCAGAGAAGAACCTTCCAGGAAGTGCCTGTTGAGATCTGACACTGACCGACTGTGGAGGTGGCTGAAGGAAGCCTAAGGGCGGGGACTAGAGGAAGCTGGGCATGGTGACGCGAGCCTCAACTGTGGGCTCCAGGCCATCCTGGGCTACAGAGCAAGTCCCAGGCCAGTCGGGCCTTGCAGTGAGACCCTGTCATAAACAAACACAAACCCAAAGGCAAAGAAAGAAGTCAGGAGGGGGATGAGGCCCAGTGACCCCGGTAAGGGGCCCTGACTCAGTCCTCGGGACGAGTGGGGGGGGCAGCGGGCAGGGTTAGGTTGAGGGGAGCAGTCTGAGCTGCTCCGTTAGCTATTTTTGCCTTTAAAGCCCAGGGCTGCAGGATGAAGGAGGATCTGAGGATCTGTGAAACGCAGGCAGTGTCCGTGAGCCAGTGAGCTCTCCCCTTCCTCACGAGTCTCTCCGTCTCCGTCTCTGTCTCTGTCTCTGTCTCTGTCTCTCTCTGTGTACAGGCTAGGGTGTTGCCTTTCAGACACCATGCGCTTTTCTCTCCCCTCTCTCTAAATTATTTACTTACTTTATGTGTACTGCTGTTTTGCCTGAATGTGTGTCTGGTAAGGGTGTTGGATCCCTGGGACTAGAGTTACAGATGCTGATGAGCAGTGATGTGGGTGCTGGGAATTGAACCTGGGTCCGCTGGAAGAGCAGGCATTGAATAATCTCTCCAGCCCCAAACTTGTCTCTTGTTTTCTTTGTTTCTCTGTAGCTTTGGAACCTATTCTGGAACTCGATCTACAGATCAGGCTGGTCTCGAACTCACAGAAATCTGCCTGCCTCTGCCTACCAAGTGCTGGAACTAAAGGCATGGGCCACCACTGCCCCGCCCCGCCCTTGTCTCTGTTAACCATTAGGCTGGCTGTCGGCCTGCCCCACCGCTCCACTGTTGGCATTATGTGGTTTCTGGGGATCCAATGCAGGTTTCTGTGCTCCTAAGGCAAGCACTTTACCAATGGGGTTACTCAATCAACAAGAACCGCCCCCAAACCCTCCCAGCCTCCCCACCCCGCCCCCATCCCCTTTCCCCTTCCCCCCGCCCCCGCCCCCTGACGCTTCTCAACGGGATCTCACTATGTACCCTGTCCTCTATGCAGATCAGGGTTGCCCCAAACTCAGAGATCCACCTGCCTATGCCGTGAGCTCTAACGTCCAGCTCCCAAGAAGGTTCTTATAGGTACAGAGAGCAGAGTGAGCCGGGAGTGTTCCTTTCTGTCACTGGAGAAAGCTTTGAAGGGCATGAAGACCAGGTTCCCGGGCTGCTGTTTGCAGCAGGCTTTGTGGGGGAACATTCATGAACAAATGCCGCCCCCTCGTGGCTGACAGCAGTATTGTCCCGGGAATAAACAGGCCTACTGAAAAACACAGGTCCAGAGTTTCCAGAGACAGGACTGCATGGGGCTAGTGGCCCGAGATACCTCTTTTAGGGGTGATCAATGAGGAAAACATATAAACATACACATGCATATTCATGTAGTCAGCAAGTGTCCCAAATGTCACCCATGATTGCTCATGATAGCAAACTAGACTTTTCTCACATTAGTTTTACTTTTGTTGTTAATAGAAAAAATGTAATACAAAATTTAAAAAAAGAGCCACAGTGGGATGGTGGGATGGCTCAGTGGGAAAAGGTGCTTGCTGTGTAAGACTGACAACCTGAGCTGGACATCTGGGACCAAGCAGAAAGAAAGAGCCAACTCCCCAAAGGGGAGTTGTGTAAGCCAGCAGAGGCACGTGCGTTCAAACACACACCACACACACACACCACACACACCACACACACACCACACACACACATCATATACCACACACCACACATATGCCAACCACACACACACACACACACACACACACACACACTCACATTACCAACCACAAACACGCAAAGGTCAGAAGCAGTAGGGCGTGTCCTGGAGTACACCAGTGAAAGCCAGGCTGCTGAGGCATGAGTTGATGCTGGGCCTGTGAGTCCTTCCAGCTGCCTTCCAAACTGCACTCCCACAGCGCCTGGGGCTGGGATTCCAGATGAACGGCTGCCCGCTAGACCTCTCTGTGTTTCTTAAGTTTCTGCAGCTCGCATGCCTGCCAAGGGGAGGGGCTGCCTTCACTATGTGGTCCTGATTTCCCTGGGTCTCCAAAGCATCATATGTAAAATATCTCTCCTACAAGGTTACAAGAAGAGTATAAAACTATAGCTGGGCAGTGGTGGCGCACGCCTTTAATCCCAGCACTCGGGAGGCAGAGGCAGGCGGATCTCTGTGATTTCGAGGTCAGCCTGGTCTACAGAGCGAGTGCCAGGACAGCCTCCAAAGCCACAGAGAAACCCTGTCTCAAACAAACAAACAAACAAAAGTTCTGTTGCAAAAATGTGTGTGTGTGTGCGCGCGTGCGCGCGCGCGCGTGTGTGTCTGTGTGTGTCAGATGAACATGGGGTGGGGCCTGTGAGATGACTTAGTGAGGGAAGAGTGCTGTTACACAGTCTGATGTCTTGAGTTCCATCCTTGACACCTATGTAAAAAAGTCCAATGGGGTGGTGTGCACACATCTATAAATTCCAGAGAAGATGAGAGGCAGAAGACAGGAAGGAGGCTCGGGGCCATTTAGCTTAGGTCCACAAGCAAGGAAGAGACAAAAGACGCACTCCTTAACAAGGGGGACAGCCTCTAAAAGACACCCTCCTTAACAAGGGGGACACCCCTGAAAGACGCACTCCTTAACAAGGGGGACACCCCTGAAAGACGCCTTCTGACTTCCACGTGTGCTAGTGTGACTTCTGTCTCTCAGACACAGACACACACAGATACACACAGATACACACACACAGGTACATACACAGACACACAGATAAACACACAGGTACATACACAGACACACAGATACACACACAGGTACATACACAGACACACACAGGTACACACACACAGGTACACATACACACAGGTACACACACAGGTACACACACAGACACACACACAAAGGTATACAAACACACACACAGATACACAGATACACAGGCACACACAGAGATACACACACATACACACACACACACACAGATACACACACACTAAATAAAAACAACATAGAAATGAGCTAAACTGAAGTGAGCTTGCTCAAGTTCAGCTGAACACTGAGCCTAGGTTGTGGAGGTCAGTCAGAGCCCAGTCACCGCAGAAACCAAGGCCAGGCTTCCATGGCCAACCCTCGTCAGTCCCTGACAGCACATCAGTTTGATCGTGACGAGGGCCGCTTGGCTGGGACCACTCTTCCGTCAGGGTGGGCCTGTCGTGGCACAGGGCCAGGTGCAGTAAAAGACACTGACTTCTGATGCTTGGAGCCCTGTCACCTGGGAGAGAGTGATAGAGCTTGGAGCCCTGTCACCTGGGAGAGTGATAGAGCTTGGAGCC